GACTGCTATGGGTTACCACCACTTTGCTTCAGTCAATTTTGATAGACTGCTATGGGTTACCACCACTTTGCTTCAGTCAATTTTGATAGACTGCTATCGGTTACACTACTTTACTTCAGTCAATTTTGATGGGTTTCCACTTCTGCCGTTATTTATGGAATAAGGCTAAAAGTGTGTCACTGTTTTCTCAGATTGTGACCTTACTGACAGCAGTGGAACAGAAAAATGTCCATGGAAAATTATTTTCAAAAGTTAACATAGCATAGGATAGTGGTAAACAGCCAGCAAAGAGCCCTTAAGAATGATAGCAACAGGATATGATATTATATGTAAAATTAGAGTGTACACTTGAGATGACGTTGACAGGTTATAAGGGTATAGTCGTGTCACATAAAGGTCTCAATGTTCTTGTTAGAGTTTGTAGACCAGGGCTGAGCAAAGCTCAGGAACCAGTTAGACAACATACTTAGCTGAGGCTTAGCTAAACTCTGGGCAATAACAAAATCATTAAAGGAGAACTATGAGGTGAGTGCTTTTCACTCACCTCATAGTTCTAGCCGACCTGTGACAATGAGACTGTCACAGGTCGGCTCAGTAGATCGGGAAGTGAGCGAACACATACCGGCGTTCGCTCACTTCCCGATCCTGTCACGACTCTCTGCCGTGACAGGGGAGGGGCTGGATTCCCTCCTCCCTGCTCTGAGCCTCCAGCGCTGACTCACTGTCACTCACGCAGCTGGGCGGATCCAGACATAATTGTCGGGATCCGCTTCAGCTGCGGCTTCTCAGTATACGGCGAGCTGTAGCTCGCGGTATACTGAGCTTAGGGTGACGGGAGGACGCTAGTTTGTGTCCTCCCGTTACCCTAAGGAGAACTATGTGGAAAAGCCTTAACCTCATAGTTCTCCTTTAAATATGCCACCCTCCCCCTTTCCCCAGCTGATAATGGACCTATTGCTCATTTTGCTAGGGGATGGGATAAGACAGATCTGGTTAGCTTAACCAGAGGTTCAGGGAAAGCCAGTGATCTGCTCATTTTCTTTCCAGCGCTAGAATGTGAACGGGCACTCCAACATCATCACATACAATGTCATACAGAGTCACATCATCAGGATGGGATGTGGGTGCTGGTCCTGTATTGTATGTGATAATGTCAGCAGCAGAGTTGGTGATAAGACCAGTGAGAGCACCAAGAGGGAGCAACATGGGGGGACTGATCACCAAAACAAGAGAGTAGCACTCTGTTTAATCTCATCATTTAGAAAATTTAGCATGTAACCCTAGAGGGGTGGTGGCATATTTATTGATTTTATTACTTGAGTTATGCTTTAGAGACTAGCACTAGCAACTAGCACTGGCAGAAATATGGAGGCGACCATTGCTGACTCCCCTCTCAAAAAACTAGTTGCCCGGCTGGCTCAGGTTTCAGTCATTGACCTAAAAAATTAAGTCAGAGTGAAAGCAGATCTCTTAGCATGACAACCAGGGAATTAGCAATTTCAGAAGGACAGATCAGCAATGGTAGCCTCTATATTTTTTGACATGGTCAGTATGGCAGTTTCATTTTTCTCACAGTACAAGCATCATTTAAATGAAATCTATGCTGAGAGCAATATGCATGCTACCAATGGTGACCTCTCCTGAAAAAGCAAGTTACCTAGCGGTCATGTTGATGTAATAGCTTCGGTACTCTCTGTGTCACTGACCCAAGCATGCAAATCTGGAGTTCTGATGACTATGACCTCAGCATCTGTACTTGACAGTGCTAAAGCCAAAAGAATCAGCATGAAAGCCAGAATACTAGAATTTTTAGAAGGAGGTAAGCAACTGCAGCTCTCAGTACAGATGTCTTAAAAACTAATGCAGACACCTACCTTTTCTATTACTGTTAGTAGAAGGACGTTTTCCCATGTTTGCTACTCGTACACTGAACTGCTCTGCACAGCACAGCACATGTGATTTGTTATCTCCAGTACCTTTTCAACTTTTTAAAAGTTCAAATAAAAAATGTATAGCTCTTGTAGCCTACCCATAAAAAATAACAACAGATGTGTAAGCAAGTCTACAGCAGTTCACTGCTTTGATTAGGAGTTTCCTTACATCTAGTCAGAATTAAAAGCACCTTCTCATCTGTCTAGGGCTAACGAAGCCCCCTTAGGAATAGCCTAAAAAGACTTTTTCATGAGTGAAGTAAATCCCTTTAATAAGTGACAAAAAGAGATCAATACCACACACTTTAAAGTAAACCCATATGTTGCCCCTTCAGAAAAGAATAACAGGTTTTCTGGATATTAACCACTTTGTGACCAGAGTTTTTTGAAGCCCAGACCAAGTTTGCAGCTCTGGTATGGGTTAGTTAACTTTATGACACATTTTTTTGATTGACAGTGGGTTTGAGAACTAGGAACACACACAGTTGCACATTTATAGTTCTCTGCTGCAAAGTTATTTAAAATTTTTATGACACAGGGCATTTTAAATTTGGAATTATAAAGTTGTATTGCAGTCACCAAAAGTTTAAGCATGGTAAAGAGCCTTTATTCACCTTCCAACGTTCCCTCCTTATCCTTCTTGCTGCGGGTGGCCCAAGTAAAGGCCAGTACTTCTGACTATAGGGGTCATTTTACTAATTTTTTTGGGGGAGGGTTAAAAAGTAAGTAAAGGCTGCTAACTATGTTTACTATACACTCAATGGCCACTTTATTAGCTACACCTTGCTAGTACCAGGTTGGACCCCCTTATGGGATGGACATGGTCAGCAACAATACTCAGGTAGGCTGTGGAATTTAAAAGATGACCAATAGGTATTAAGAGGCTGAAAGTGTGCCAAGAAAATATCGCCCTCACCATTACACCACTACCACCAGACTGAACTGTAAGACAGGAAGGTTCCATGCTCTCGTGCTGTTTATGCCAAATTCTGACCCGACCATTTGAATGTGGCAGCAGAAATCGAGACTCATCAGAACAGGCAACGTTTTTCGAATCTTCTGTTGTACAATTTTGATGAACTCTTTCAAATTGTAGCCTCAGTTACCTGTTCTTAGCTGATAGAAGCTGCTTCAAGGTTCGATGTGTTGTGCATTCAGAGATCCTATTCTGCATACCCCGGATGTAACGAGTGGTTTTTTGAGTTACTGTTGCCTTTCTATCAACTTGAACCAGTCTGCCCATTCTTCTCTGACCTCTGGCATCAACAAGGTATTCTTGCCCAGAGAGCTGCCGCTCACTGGATATTTTCTCTTTTTCAGACTATTTTCTGTAAACCCTAGAGATGGTTATGCATGAACATCCCAGTAGATCAGCAGTTTCTAAATTACTCAGACCAGCACGTATATCACCAACAATCATGCCACTTTCAAAGTCCCTTTTCTTCCCCATGCTAATGTTCAGTTTGAACTTCAGCAGATCGTCTGACCATATCTACATGCCTAAATGCATTGTGTTGCTGCCATGTGATTGGCTGATTAGATATTTGTATTAATGAGTGGTCGAACAGGTGTATCTAATAAAGTGGCCAGTGAATGTGTGCCCTGAATAGAAAAGCACAGGTACACTTTAAATGCAGAACAGTTCTACAATACCAGCTAATAAGGCAGAAATGCAGCTTGTAATGTTTGCAAAGCTGTGCTTTTTGCTGATACGGTTCTAAGCTTTGCCATCCACAGGGCAGGCACTCAGGAAATGGAGTAGAACAAGAAAGTCTTTATAACCGGGATTGTTCTGCTACATTACTGCTAATGCTACTGAAGTGATGGGAAGCATCCTGAGCACAACCATTAGCCTGGTTTAGCAGACCTGTCAACTCCCACTGCTTAGTTGCGAATCTCGCTGGTTTTAAGTCAGGATGTGATTTTTCGCTTGAGTGACACCGTAGGTTTCACACAGATTTCATGGCTTTCTCCCTTCCTATATGCTTTCGAATATGGCTTTTCTAGGTTCAGGGGATGCAGCAGCTTGAATAATCGCTTCTAAAAACAAACCCGCTACGCAGACAGTGCGACCTGCAGCAGAAAAACAATGCACTTCACCAGTAGATGAGATCCATTAACATGAAGCCGTCTTTCATTAAACTGAGTCAGAAGAGTAAGGACAGCACAGATAAACATAACTTAGGAACAGAAACACTGTGTCAAGTGCATTGCAACAGCCTTCTTGGGATGCTTAAAAGGGTTATAAAATCACTGCAGTGTGCGAATGCAATTGGTAGTGAAAAGGGGGGAATTAAAAAAAACTGGGTCATTCGTCAAGCAGAAAACGAAGCTCTAAATTGTACTTTTTTCTATCGGCACACTCCAGACAGTAAAAGCTAAAGAGCCGAGATCTCTAGCAGCCTGTTTAAACCATTCACTTGCAGAATAGCTAAAGGTTCAGATGCTGCCAAGCAGATTAGCAGTCATCTGGAAATCTCTGTCTGCAAGAAGCATGCTGTACCAATTCATCCCAGCCTGCATGCCTTAGGAATTGCAAATGTGTCTCTCAAAAGTAATTCCAGCACAACAAATTCATTGACGCAGCACGCTCCCCGCTCTGGATATTTTCCCATCTACGTCTCACTTACAAGAGGTGCCATGGCCAATGTAAACAATTCCCTTTCCTGGCTAGCACTAGCCCCACAGACTTCCTTGTCCTCCCCCTCCTCCCCCTTTTCTACAATGTGTAATATCCCAAACGCTCTCCAGGCACATACATACCCTTTTCTTCATCCGAAAACACATCGTGCTGTGCAGAAGCTTTAAAAAAAAAAAGAATAAGTATATGCTATAATTCTGCCACAGTCCTGCCCGCTGGATTCCGCATGTGCTATTCTCAAAGCCGTCGCTGGAATGAGGTGTCAGCTGCTTGTGTTCACTATACAAATATCTTTGTCATGAAACTACATGTTATAATTTGGCAAAGAGCCCTAGAATACTTCTAGTACAAATCATCATATGTGTTCAAACTTGCTCCAGCAACTTTAGTGACAGCAGTAAAATACAGGGAAAAAAACAAAATCTCACCTCTACTATTTCTGTGTTCGCATATCTGGTTAATGTCTGCTCTGTAGGATGTGCCACTGAGATCTGTACAAACGTGTTCAGCTTGCCATCACGGGCGGCAGTCAGCAGATCCTTGCATGCTGCAAAGCAAAGAAATAAGTGTCAAAAAATGCAAACAGTGCAAGCTTCTTGTGGCACAGGGCGACACAGGCTTACAATGAGCTCTGGATTACATCTCCGGAGACGCAGCTGATTTAGCAGAGGAAGTCCCTTGGAGTTACCTTTGCAGACATAGGAAGTCACATGTTAGAGCTGAGAATTCATTTCCACAAGCAGCTCCTGGAAGCCGACTTCCCAGGCAGGAGCACAGCATTGGTGTGTGTAATTGTAGGCAAATCCCCGCCAACACACACACACACACACCAGCAAGTTTAAGAGAATAAGTACATCAGCTCTGACCTTAAAACCTGACCCACGTCACTCAGCCTTTTCTGATAAACCTCTGGAGGAATCGTTCGGTAAACTGGCTACTTATTAACTAGTCGTGCTATTGCTGCCACATGTTTTAGTGTGTGTGTGTCTTTAATGGTAACATGGTTTTCTTAAAGCACAACTCCGTACAAACCTTTTTTTAATATAGTTTTGGATGGACTTAGGGAGAGTTAAGGACCATTCAAACATTCTTATCTAAACTGGAGCAGACAACATCTGGAGCAGATGTGCATGGCAACCAGTCAGCTTCTATCTTTCATTTTCAAATCTTAACTGAACAAACTGAAGAGAGAAGCTGATTGGTTGCCATTGGCAACTGCCCCAGATTTTGTAGGCTCCAGTTTTGATAAATGCCCCCCTCTGCGTTTTACCATAGGTTACCACAAGGGCACATTGAAAATAATTATTTTCTATGTGTCCCATTCACACCACAACACGTTTGTTGTGGGCATGCACTGCAATAAAATGCACGCATGCTGCATCTCATTGCAGTGTGCTGGATGCCACCTCCAGGTTGCTGCACATTGTGCTGCTGTGCAAGGACTTGAATGGTGTGTACATATTGTACAATGCACATAAAGTTAACAAAAAAAAATGAAAAAAATGTTAACAGTGACAGGTCTGGGAGTCCGGCAGATACAATGCACACTGCTGGAGCTGCCACAACGAACTAGACCAGGGGTGGGCAACTCCAGCCCTCCAGCTATTGTGGAACTACAAGTCCCATGAGGCAGTGCAAGAATCTGAAAGCCACAGGCACGACTGAAAGCCACAGGCAAATGCATGATGAGATTTGTAGTTAAATCACAGTTGGTGGGCTGGAGTTGCTCACCCCTGCACTAGACCGTCAGCTAAAAGGTAGTGTTTTTTCGCAGGCGGGCTAGTGTGAATGGATCCTTGAGGTAGAAGAAAGGCAAATTAGATCTCCTTCCCAAGCTTCTTCTTTTCCTGGCTTTAAGAGCCAGAGAATGTAAACCGTGGCAACGGAAGTGATCGGAGAAGAGATCAGCAGCTGGAAGCCTGCTGAACTCTCTCCGATCATTGCGGGGAGACCTGCCGTGCGGTGGACAGCGGAGCCCAGAGAAGCCGGCGGATCGTTACAAAAGGTCCGGCAGGTGTATAGACGGTAGATCACTTCTACCTGAACCGCCGGCTGTTTAAAATGACGCCAAGAACACGGCTGCAGCAGCAGCAGCTGTGTTCATGGTATAACCACTTCTGCGGGCCGCCATATATTTACGCATTGTGGCCCGGAAGTGGATAAAGCATTGTAAGGGGTATTTTGATTGGGCAATTCCACAAAATTTTGTGGAAAGTGCACTTAAGTTAATTTTAGTGCCCCAAAGCACAATAAGTGCTTTGGGGCACTAAAATTAACTTAAGTAGTGCACAACATTTTTGGGTTTAATAAAGTTGCGTCAATATCGTGCAACATAAAAAATTGCAACTGCCACCATTTTATTTTACAGGGTGTTGGCTTTCCAAAAATGTAAGTTTTCATGCCCAGATTTAAAGGACAACTATGGGGTTAAGGCTTTTCCCCATAGGGTAATGGGAGGTATATATATATAAAAATATATATAAAATGCATGTGTGTGTATTTTAAATACAAGCAGTGTAAGTATTAGAATTTGACCTGGTATCAGCCTCTTGCAGTCCCTGTAGGACAGAGCTGGAGAGTATGAAGAAGTAGTATAGTTCCTAAGGCTCCATTCACATATAGAGTTTGCGTTTCCCACGCAGTTTTCCATGCGGAAGACTGCGTTGGACGAAAAGGCAATTTTTTTTAATCTGCACGGATTCCTCTTGTTTTGGGCTATTATATAGCTGCGCACGTGCATAATATCGCACTTATACTATTTTGCAAGCCGTGTCGTTTCATACCGCCCGTCCGACACAAAAGTCTGAACAATGCACATAAAAGTGCATTGTTTTTTACGTTTAGAGCGGCTTTGAATACGCACAGACAACCGCTCCTGTGTGAATGGAGCCTAAGGGATTTGAGAATGTTCACACAAACTTGTGTGAGCACTCATTTCAATTATCCAGTCATAAGCAGAATAATAAACTGTGATTTTCTTTTCACATGATTGGGCAATTAAAGTAAATATGTTAACCTTCTCAAATGCTTCAGTAAATTGGTAAACCTCATTGAGTTTATGTGCTGAGAAGCAGCACGTCAATAGAAACAGAAAGCAGAATGAGCTAATCACTGTGCTGTTTCTCTTTAAACTGTCCAGTAATAGGCTGAAGCGGATCCAGGTTGACCTGGACTCAGAGTAAAGGTGGCCATACACTTTACAACCCTCCCAAGACTTTGGTCTTGGTTTTTCCAACATGCTCGAAATACAAAAGTCGTGCAACCGTACAGTAGAAACGGTTGCATGCCTTCCATACACTGCACGATTCTCGTACGAGAATCGCTGGAAATGGTGCCCATACACTGCACGATTCTCGTACAGTGTATGGAAGGCGTGCGACCGTTCCTACTGTACGGTTGCACGACTTTTGTATTTCGAGCATGTTGGAAAACCAGCCGAGAATCGTACGATTTTCGGCTGGTTTTTAACATGATCGAGAGACAACTGCCGAACGGGCCGGTGTGCGCACGCGCACACTACGCGTTCAGCATTGCAGTCATCGGAAGCCCGCCCCTCAGGGGGGCGGGCTTGCGATGATCGCAAGTACGATCTGCCTGTCCAAGATGGATCGTAAAAAAATGAATAGAAAACGATTGTGCGGAGCTAGCACTGACAGCTAGCTCAGCCCAACAGTTTTCTATTGGCCGGCGGTTCTGCTGCCGTAAAAATAAAAACAAAAACAAAAAACTCTCCCGGGCGATCTGGGAGTCTCCCGCTTCTGGCCGCCAAGGAGAGATACACTGCTTTTTCTTTTTTTTCTTTATTCTGACACGGAGCCGTGTCAGAATAGAAAATAAAAATAAAATTGCCCATAGGAATGCATTGCTAGATTCCTATTGGAATCTAGCAATAAACTAGCATTGCACCCACCCTCTGCTGATGGACCTGATGGAGAACTGCAGCAGAGGGCGGGTGCAATGCTAGTTTACTATTAGCTATTGCAAATTGAAATAGCCAATAGGAATCAAGCAATGCATTCCTATGGGCAAAATTATGTATTTATTTTTTCTATTCTGATACGGCTCCGTGTCAAGATAAAGAAAAAAAAAAGAAATAGCAGTGTTTCTCTCCTTGGCGGCCGGGAGCGGGAGACTCCCGGAGCGCCCGGGAGAGTATGCTGTCTGGAGATCAGTGTCCCTGGTTAGCTGGTAACCAGGGACGCTGATCTCTCTGCAAGTGGCCTGAGCCCGCCGTAAGATCACGGCTGGCTCAACCCAGCTTTCAGAAGCAGGCTGTTGGCCGGCCAGCTTCGGCTTTTAGCGCGGCTCAGCCGAGCCGAGGCATATGCCTCCGGCTCGACTGAGCAGCTCGGCTAAGTTCGGAAGCTGTACGGGCTATTGTGAATAGCAATCCGAAGGGGTCCTGTAGAACCCGAAGGGGTCCTGGGGCCGAAGCTAGCCGAAGGATCGGCCGAAGCTACGGCTAGATCCTTCTGCTGCTTCGTGAATAGACCCCATTGTTAGCACATGTGCATGTACCAGAACTTGATTGGTTCCTAGTGCTTGCTCACCCCTCTCCCAGGGCTCATTTCACTAAGAGCTTAATACCTTATGAAATTTTGAGGTAAAATAACTCATCAGTTATTTAACTATTGAGTATACAATTCACTAAAATCTATGAGTTACTTACCGAATTAGATATTTCTTCAAAACATGCGTTATTTATCTATAATTCATATGGTCATTTCTGGTGAAAAAAGGGCACAGGCGTGCAGTCATTTTCACCCATAACATTAAAAACCAGCTAAGGCTCAAAAAACGCTTTTTATTTAGTCCCCTTCCTACCTTCAGGACGCCATTGTCTGTATCCTCATTTGGATGAATTTATATTCCACAGGCTTTTTTAGTAAATTGACTTGTATTTCATGTGATATTTATCTAATGTTTTCAGTTTTTGCTTTGTTTATCTCACATATTCTTAATGAATTCACTTTTTTTTAAAATCTGTGACCATTTATTTCATGAGATAACGTTTAGTGAATTGACCCCCCCAGTCTCCTAGTGCAGTCATAGAGGGGATTACAAGAGGTAGAATTCAAGACAAATTAACAAATATGCATTTAAAAATAACATTTTCCATTTGTAAGAAATATATAACCATGCTGAATAGAATTTTCATATCTGCATTAAGCTCATCTTAAAAACTAAAGTTTCTGTAGGAGCACGCAGTCACAGCCATCCTGTTCTGGCAGAATCAGGCCATGCTCATGTAATATCTGGTACTTATTTGTTATAAATATGTTTCCAGTTTTTTTTAAATGATTCCAAACATTTCATTAATGCCTATTTTTGGACTCTCTCCAATAGAACGCTTGTAGCAGGAAGGCTGCAGTGCAGATTGCAGAGCTCTACTTCCACAGGAAGAGTTGGAAGTTTATAAAAGGACACTATTTGTTTTCTTTAGTAAGTCTGAGGCTTTCCCTAGTTAACCCTTCCATGGTAAGGACAACTATAACCTCAGACTTCTTGACATATTGATTTGTAACGCCTGTATGAAGAGTATACTCT